ATCCTGCCCATGTTGTCCAGCAGCACATCTCAACCTTAACACCTCCTCTCCTCTGCCTCCTCCTCCCAGGCCCCCCCAGCCACCCACCCTGGAGTGCCTGGGCAGGTCAAGGCAGGGACACAAGGAAGGGACTGCGGTGCTGCCTGGGAGTGGCATGAGGGCCCAGGAGCAGGTGAAACTGCCATGTAGGTTAAGAACAGAAGCTGTGGAAAGACAAGAAACTGCCTTCAGAAAGACAAGAACTGGTGGGCCTTGGGGACTCTTGAGGGGCCACAGGATGACTCTGGGTTTCTGGCTTGGGGGGGTCCCTTTTTCTGAGACAAGGGGGAGTGGTGGGGAGAATCCCAGATGACCAGAGCCGTCTGGGCAAGGCTAGAGGCAGGAGACTGTCTGCAGAGCTCTGGGGCCAGGCCTTCCCTCAGAGAGGCTGGCAGGGGCCAGGCAGGAGGGGCCTTGAGTGCCCAGGGAGAGGCAGGACTTGTGTCTTAGACGTGCTTCTGGCAGGCACTGCAAGGAGCAGCATGGATCAGGCGCGAGATGACTGACTGCTCGCCCGGCTGACAGGTTCTGGCCGGGGCCGGGGGCAGCGGGCAGGGCTCAGTGTGGATTCCGGAATCTTTCAGGACAGAGAGCTGACAGGTCATAGTGGCCGACTTAGGGGCTACAGCGTGGGAAGGAACCTGGAAGGTGCCAGGCAGAGAGGAGACAGAATGTCAGATGGGGTGGGTGGTGGTGGAAAGGGGGGCTTAAGGAGCTGCAGAGGGCAGGGGTCCCTTTCCTGTGCCACCCCGGGGCAGCCACTGCCAGGCTGAGCCTTAAGCGGGAAGCCCTGGAAGGCCCTGGGGAGAGCGGGTGGCACACTGGCCTGCTCCTCCAGCTGGAGGAGGGGTGCAGGGCCCCAGGAAGGGCTTGCTCTGCTCTAACTCTTTACTCGTGGACACTGGAGTTGAAGCCACACGGGATTACGGGGATTACCAGCTGGTGGCGGAGGAGGGAGCCATCCAAGGGGCGGATGGGAAGGGGCCAAGCCAGACTGGGGACAGGGCTACCCTCCAACGGGGTGGGGGTGGGGGTGGGGGGGTGGAGGCTGTTGCCACGGAAACCTCACGCTTGCATAGGCAGAATCAGACACCGCTGTCCCCCAGACCAGCTCGGTCTTAATTTCCTGGGACATTTGCTGGGTGCCCGCACAGTGGCAGCTCGGGCCCTGGCTCTGTTTGAGGCCTAGTTCAGGAGCTACAGAGTGAATGAGAATTAGGAACAGTCCCAGGAGAGGTCAGGAGAAGGGCTGGGAAGGACAGGGGGCTAGTTCCACTGAGAGTGAAGCAGCGTGGGAGGGCGGGGGCAGGGAGTGATGCGTGCAGATGGAGGGCTCTGGCAGGCCGAGGTGCCTGGTCTCCGGCCCCCAGAGCCCCTCACCTGCCGCCTCCTCCTAGCATCTTTTCTGCATCAAGCTCCCCTCCAGACTGGCAGCCGGGTCCCCAGCCAGGGGACTCTTCTGGAAGCTCAACAGCGGGGGGTGTGTGTGGGGGTTCGGATCGGAAGGGGCCGCAGTGTCTGTTTGGACCTGTACTGGAGTCAGTGGTCAGGCCGGAGTTTGGTCATAAGGGAATGGAAAATGGCCAAAAAGAGGAAGGGACTCAGAATCTCAGGAATTTTGAGGGGCTCCAGGATGACTCTCAGCTTGTGGCTTGGGGGTCCTTCCGACCAAGGTAAGGAGAGAGCAACGGCGTGGGTGGGGTGCTGTCAGGTCACATGGGAGGCTCCTGGAGATACCCTGGGGGGACGCTGTTGGGGGTCCCATTTGCCTGCTGCTCCTTCGCAGCTTGGACATGGGGTGAGCTGGCCCCCTAGGGCAAACTCGGGGCACCCTTCAGAGCTACTGTGAAGAGGCCAACTTGAGGTCCTGGGACCCCACTCTCCCGGAAAGCTGGGGGATGGAGGAGAGCCGGTCACAGGGCCTGAGGACTCTCTGCAGCTCTGCTGGGGCCTGCAGGGCCTGACTGAGCCCACTGACGAGGCCGTTTCTTGGGCATTTTCCTGCATGGAGACTTTCTCTCAGCGCCTCCTTTTCTCGCTTGGGTAGATAAACAGCACCTTGGCTGGCTGGATGACTTTCTCTTTCTGCAGATGCGATGTGCGGTTTCCTTCTGCTTCTCTTTTCTTCCTCTGTAACTTGTTCTTCATTTGGGAAAACTTGTAAGCATTTTCCCTTTAATCATGGAATTCAGAGACTTTCCAAGGCTATGCCTAGATGTCTGTTTTTTTCCGTCATTCATGCCTGGAACTCAGCGAACCCTTTTCAAACCCAAATCTTGCTTCAAATGATGGAACATTTTCTTTCTCATTTAAAAATTATTGCTTATCCTCCTTTTTTTTTTTTATAACTTTTATTATTCACATGTTTCCTGAGTCTCTCCATCATCCGCTCCTGGTTTCCTCCACGCAATTTCTGTCGTTATGGTTTCCGACGTCTGTCTTCTCGTTTTCCCTTTGCAAAGCATTAGCATCTACCCTCTGTGACTATGCAGGTGCCTCTCTTTTTCTTTCTTCCTTTCCTTACACACCTGGCCTTTTAAAAATGCAAAAAATTAAGAAAATAAAAAATAAATTTAAACCACGTTTCCAAATTCAATTTCAGGAAAGTGGGTTTTTGCCTGGTTTTTTTTTTTTTTTTACCACGTTCTTTCTACTTTGTTTTCTTTTTCCTGTGTGCAGCTGGCAGTTTGTCTCCTCTTACAGCTTGGCGTGAAAGGCAGGCTTTTTCTCCTGACCACTGGGTTCCTTCAGCTACCTGTTTTGTTCAACTTGTCTTTTTATTTCTTTTAAAACAGCAGCATAAGTTAAGTTCCAATTCCCTCCTCCCATCTCAGCTGTATTGGGGGCATAATCAGCAGATAAAGATTATCCACATTTAACATGTACGACATATTTACATTCTTATATCACTCATTGTGAGAGCACGCCCACAATCAAGCTCACTAGCATTACCATCACATACTGCCTTTGTGTGTGTGTGGGGGGGGGTGGTGGTGGTGAAAACACTTATGATCAGCTCTCAGCAAATTTCAAACATACAATATAGCATTATTAACTGGAGCCACCATGCTGTACATTCCTTCTCTAGAACTTACTCTCCAACGTCCAGTTTTTCTAGAGTCTACATACAAGTGGGATTATGTAGCATGCAATATTTGTTGAACTCTGTCTGCTTTATTTTATTCGGTATAACATCCTTCTGGCTCATCATGTTGCCACAAGTGGCAGCATTTCCTGCCTTTCTAGAGACTGAATAATATTCCACTCTTTGTGTGTGTGTATGTGTATGTGAGCATACAAACACTACATTTTTTTTATGTGGCCTTTTGAATATTCCATGTATCTTTTCCACCCATTCTGAAGTGAAACTAGAAATCAGTAAGAAAACATGAATCTACACATGTGTGGAAACTCAACAATCCACTCTGAAATAACCAATAGGTCAAATAAGAAATCAAAAGGGAATTTAAAAAAATACCTTGAGACAAAAACAAAACAGAACATAACAAAACATATAGGATGCAACAAAAGCAGTACTAAATGGGAAGCTTACTGCTTTTTCCTTCTTGCAGCTCTAATTACCACCAAGACTCAGGTCCAGGTGACAGGCTGGACATGCCTGGATGTGCCACAGGAGAGACTGTCCTGCATCCTCAACTCCAAGTCTTGGAGCTGGGATCCTCTGCAGCTTTCCTAGAACCAACCAGACCTGCTTGCCCCAGGTCTTTGGGAGATGCCAGGCATTATCCTGGAACCTAGATCTGATTCTCACCCAAGGGTCTTGCTGCTGCCAGCCCCAATGGAAGCCAGCCCTCTCAGTCTGGAGGCCTCCCAACCTGCCAGACCTGGCTGCTGGCTAACCTTGAGCTCTGCTGCAATAGTGTTTGGATCTGGAAAGAAGGGCGGTCCCCATCCAGGAGGTTTAATTAAAGAGAGTTTCTCAAGTTTCATGGAGGTTGAAGAGATGACTGGGATCAATCATTTTACCCAGGGTTATAAAAATACACCAGCAAACAACAACAACAACAAAAACAATTGCAGCAAAGTAGAGCTGACTTGAGCAAAAGGCACTCCCAGCTCTGTGACAACACATCTGGAATAGGCAGAACACCCGGCGGTGCTGAAGGAGGCTGAAGTTCTGTGCAGCTTCTGGTTCTGGTAATAATGAAGCCTTGTGAAGGGAGGAAAGGGCCTCAGATGCTCTCAGTTCTGTTCTTGGCACAACACCATGTACCTACTGAAAGAGTTTTCCAAACCGTTGGAAGCAGGGAAGGAGTGGGGGGAGGGAGTGAAGCACGCAGAAGGCAGCTGATTTCTTTAAAACGCTGCAGCTGGATGAGCCATGTTCCAATGCCCTTAGACCTCGGAGGTTGTAGTGAACGCGCCGTCCCTCCTGTACGTGGTCGGTGGCCACACGACGGCCTTGCTTCCAAATTTGAATCTGTCTTTTGTTTGAAATTTCTTTACCACATGGTAAGAAGGGTCACAGGAATTTTCTGTTAAGTGCTTCAAAGTGAAACTATAGATGTTTTGTCTTTTAAAGGCCAACAAGGATCATCATCTGAGAGAAATTATGAACCTTTCCAAGTCACTTGGGACAGAGTGAATAAATTATGCCAAAAAATAATTCCTAAGGACTTCAAAGTTGAAAGATATTTTCTTCTGAAGAAAAGAACTGTGAAAGAAAACAAATGATGGCAATTCGGGTTCTGCATTTCTTCTGTTTGTCAGGAGAAGAGTCTCAGATCAATCTTTTATCAAGAATGGGCTCCTGGATGGTCAGATTTAAATCTGCACTTTCTTAGAAATGATCACAACAAAGCAGAAAAGTTTCTGAACTGCGCCACACAGATGGAACGAAATAGAAATAGAAGTGGTCCAGACATGTGTGAGACTGTGCAGCCCAAAAGCACTTTGGATCCTGCCATGCAGAGTGTTTTACGAAAAGCCGAACGTCTCACTTCTGCGGGAATTCGTCAGCGTAATTGGTCTCGGCGGCTTGCTGATTTGACATGGTCTTCATCATCTTGATCCCCGGTCTCAGCTGTCGCATGTGGCCGTGCAGCGCTCACTTGCTACTCTTTGTGGCCTAGAAATCCACTGTTGCTGCCCTATCATGAGAGAGGTCTGGTTCTGCTGGTTGCTGTCAGACACATCCCAACAGTGAGCTCTTTCTGAGTCTCCACTCTTTCTGGCTACCGGGAACATTCAGAACTCATTAGTTCGTTCAGTCTCCAAGCCACCCTTGGGAATTATTAGCCTTCATTCCTGGGTGCAGAAAATGAGCTATGAGCAATTAAGTGACTTGACAAGGTCATGCAAGGAGTCTCAAACTCACAGCCCCCGAACACCAAAGTCAGCACAACCCCTGTGTTATTTGTAACCAGACAGATGAAGGGTCAAGGGCCTGGGATATCATGGATTTGTCTGTATTTGCTGAGCTAGAAGTGGTGACCTATACCATAATCTTAGCTCTGAAAGTTTTTCATTTTAAGAAGTCTAATGTATTTTATATGTGTTACTGGATGATTAGACATTTGAGTAGAGCTGTTTGTGGAGTGTCCTATGCTGCTGGGATGACAGAAAGGATAACGTTAAAAGGAAACGCTATGACAAGATGCCTCTGTTATCGAAAAATTAACTAAATGAACGGTTGAAATAGTTATATGGTGGAATATTATTCAGCAACGCACAGGAAAAAAGTACTGATGCATGCAGCAACACAGATGAACACACAGACTCTTATGCTGGACAAAATAAACCAGATACAAAATATCATACAGAATGTGATTTTCAATATATGAAATTCTAGAAAATGCAAACTTTGTGGCTGCTTTTGCTAGGGCTGTACAACAAGAAACCATAGCCTGGGTTTCTTAAAAGAACAGAAATTTATTTCCTCACCCTTCTGGAGCCTGGAAAGTCCAGTGTCAAGGTGTTGGCATGTGACTCTTTTGAGCTGCTCTCCTTAGCTTGCAGATGGCAAACTTCTCACTGTGTCCTCACATGGTCTTCTCTCCGTGTGAACGTGTGCTGACCTCTTCCTACTGTAAGAACACTGCCACAAGGACTTCATTTTAACTTAATGACCTCCTTAGAGAACTCATTGCATGGAACTGATTGATGAATGAACTGATGGACCAAAACAGTAATATATCAACAATTGTAGAATCTAGGTGGCGGGTTCATGTGGGTGTCATTGAATAATTCTTTCAAATTGTCTGCATGTCTGAAATTTCTCAGAGTAAAATGGTGAAGGAGAAAGAGTTCTTAAAATAAAATTTTCATTTGAAAATGTCAGCCAGACATTTCTTTAAAAGCCTCTTCAGTGCTAGATTACAGCTCCCTGGTGAAACCTCGTGACCTCAGGCCAAGTCACTGTGGTCAGTGACCCCCCAGCTTTAGCCCCAGTTCACCTGTGTCTGGCACAGAGAGTCCACTAGGGAGGGGCGCAGAGCAGTCGGGAGGCTGGGGCTAGCTCAGCTACGCTGCGAGGTGTCCATGGGAGCCCGCGTGCAGAGCTGCTTAAACATCTCTGTTTCAGACCCGAGGCAGTGTGCGATGGCCTTTGTCAGCCAAGTGAGCACAGTCTAGGCTCAGAAGGGGGGTGTTGGGGTGGGCTGGTGAATGGTATGGAGTTGGCACACAAAATAGGTGCTCAAGTGCGGAAAAAATATTTGAATGAAATTGGAAAGGCACCTTCAAGGACGCTGTCCGCAGGAGAGAGTAAAGTTGCTATGTGTGGTGGGTGGGAAGTGGGGGCTGGGCTTTCTGTCACGCCTCTGCCCAAGTTTACCCCTACTGTGGCCAGATAAACCTCCGGAAGTGGCCCAGGAGAGGTCTCGGGGTTCCTGGACAGCCAGGGAGAGGGCGCCTTGCCACATTCTTAGGCGAGAGCCCATCCAAAACAATTTCTTTTTCTAAAAACTCGGTGCTAACGGATTCCAGATGTCCGTTTGTTATATAATGGGGTTTGTTTTAATAGCGTCAACTTCCAGATGTGCAGCCTGGAATCAAGAAGCCCATTGGCCCCCTGAGAACACCAAGAGCCAAGCTGAGTGCTGCCCGGGGGAGAGGCAGATTACGTGCAGAACCAGGCACGGGAGCGGAGCTGGCAGTGCCCTCCCGCAGCCCGCCGGGCCACTCACCTGCCAGCTGCTGGCTCTGACTGCGTGCGTGTGGCAGGAAGAGCCCCCAGCCTCCTGTGCTCAGTCCTGACTCTGGGCGGGGCGTCCCAGGGGCAGTCACAGAAAGGTGGCCTGAGGGGTGCATGCTGGCGAATCTACTTACACCAGTACCGCAGGTGACCTTGGTTGGGCCTGGGCCTGGTGGAGCCTTGCTGCCCCAGATGGCATGTGGATGGGCATCACTCCACCTGTCAGGGTCCTGGTGAGGAGGGAAGCCAGGTGAAGTGGAGGTGGCATTGGAACCGTGGTCTTGCCCTTGGTCAGAGTGGAAGGAGGCGGCCCTGGGCACCTGTCTGCAACGCCCCTCCACCAAAGTGTGCCAGCCCTGCATAGCCAGGGCCACATTTCCTGTAGGACGCTGGAAATGCGTTGGTGGTGGAACCTGACCCCTGCCTCTCTCAGCCTCTGCTCCGGGCCCTGTGGCTCTTCCACGGCCCTGTGGTGCCAACTGGTAGCACCTCCTGTCTGCCTGTCAAGGGTGGCGATGGGGTGACTCTTGGCTGGTCTGAGCACCACTCATTGGCGCCCTGCTGAGCATGCCACTCCCTCTTCTGCCTATAACCCTGAGGGACAGGAGACGATGATCTAACTCCCGAGCCTTTCCCCCTCAGGTGGCTGCAGCTAGAGCACCTGATGGAATAAGGTTGATGTACCCTGAGGTAGGATGTTCAAGATCACAAGGGAGAAAGGTCACAGAACATAAATGCAGCCACATTTATGTAGATAAGAGCAGACCGTTATCTACAATGGGATCCCCATTACCATAAGAAGATACCCGCCCCCCACTCAATCCATAAAATTGTGCAATTCCAACAAAATTCCAACCTAATTGAGAAGATGACCATGTATGTTGACATGGAAAATAAATGGAGAAAAATTTCTTATGAGCTGAGTGTGATCCTACCCATTCATATTGAAATCCTAAGCCCCAACAAAATGGTAGTAGGAGGTGAAAAGAAAGAATAGGAGGCCTGTAGGAGGTAACCAGGTCAGAAGTGAACCCCTCAAGGATTGCACTGAAGTCCCCATGGGAGAGATTCCAGAAAGATCCCTTACCTGGCCACATGAGGACACAGTGAGAAGTTGGCAGGGTGCAGGCCAGAAGAGGAGCCTCAGCAACTTGGCCATGCTGCCATCTTGATCTCAGGCTTCAGTCTCTAAGACCCTGGGATACATTTGTCCTGTTTAAGCTGCTCTGTCTATGGCAGTTTGTTACAGCAGTCCAGATGGGTTAAGGTTGGCATGTTTTCTGCAAATGAAGAAAATTAAGGTAGGAGTTACTCTCCTGGAGGACAGAACACGTGGTAAAACTCTAATACTTTAAGCATGGTGCTGTACTAGCATTAGCAGAGAAGTAAATGGCACAGAAATGGAAATACAGAAATAGCCCCCACCTCCAGAGTCCATTTGAGAATAGAGGAAGGAAATACATTTCCAATTAAAACAAATAGGTAAGGTTAGCTGGTTACCTTTGAGGAGAGAGACTTGGTGTGCGAGAAGTGTTTTCATTTTGCATATTCAAGATTGTTGGATTTTTTCCAACTTTATATATGTATTACTTTTTAAAAATATCAATATATTTTTAGGTCAATGTATGTTAGCTAGAGATTTTGTTTCTTTTTGGACTTTCTCTTTTGTACTGCTCTGTTGAAGAGAAGCCTCAAAGGTGTTATAACAATAATACAAGAATATATTACAAACTGTTAATGGTTGTTATGTTGTGGATGTTTACTCATGGGAGGGCATTCACCCGCTGAGCCATATATTTCCATCACACTTGGATGACCATATTGTCTCCCCCCACAGTTTTTGAGTTTGCAAATATAACTTTAAGAATCGAGAAGAGGGGAAAATGAATCTTAAACAAAATAAACTAGTGCAGAAATGATAAATTACTCGTAAATGAACAAATGCCTAACAACTAGAAAAAGTAGTTAGATTTCTAGCTTATAACCAAAATAAACTCAGGTGGTTTAAAGATTTAAATATTAGCAGTTAAACCACAAAACAACCCTAACACTGATACAATTGTAGGATAAAGAAACAATTTTCTAAAAAGACATCAAATAACTAGGTTGATAGATTTGAGGGAACACATTTAAAATTTTTCCTCCTTGGAACAAAGCAAAGGTAAAAGTGCAGACAATACAAGACAGAAAGCTATGTAGAAAGAGTAAGAATTGCTTGATGTAGAGTTCTACAAAAATCCCTGCATACCATCCCCCACCCCAAGCCAACAATGAAGGGGAATTTGATGACAATGAAAGGTGAGTTTCCAAGAGCAGCCGAAGGTGGGAGGGTGGGGCTGAGCCAGGGGTTTCTCAAGGCAGCTGGGCCCAGCGCCCTCCGTGTGGCAGGGGTTTCCCAGCCACCCTGGCATCTCCAGTCCTGCCTGTGCCAGTTTCTCTGCTGTGCCTGACCCCCGCCCAGCACGCCTGCCATCTCTGCATTTCTTCACACACAACAGGCACTTCCCACTTCCAAGTCTTTTGCAAAAGCTGGCCCCTTTACCTGGCTCACCCTCTCTCTACCTCTGCCAGGAAAAGGTCCAACTGTTCCTTCAAGGCGTGGGTCAAAGGCCCCTGTTCTTCAGAACAGTCTTCTGTCTCCCCAGGAGGCGCCCCCCACCCCTCCCTGGCTCCCACAGCTCCTGCCCATCATTCCAGCCTTTCATTGCATTTGTGGGCTTCTCAGTCCAGTCCCTCTGCTAGACCACAGGCCTCTCTAGTTAGGGGTCTCCAGGGGCTCCCCCTCCCCCATCTCCAGGTGAGCCAGGGGCAGGTGTAGCCAATACAGCAGGAACAGACAAGCTGTCGCCTGGGGGGCAGAGTAGAGTTTGGACAGACACTCCCCAAGTTGGCTACTT